GGTGCTTATTAGCTGTAGCTGGCTGGATCCTGCAAGATATTTGTCCTGAGTAACATGCTCTAGCTCTAGGCAATCCTGCTTCAGCAGGGGAGTTGGACTAGGTGATCTCTATGGTCCCTTCCAACTCTAAAATTCAGTGAAATTCAGTGAAATTTAGGTGATGCTGCTGAGATCTAACACGTGCTGTGCTTGTCATGTCCCATCACATCGTTTTGTCCCTGTGGAGCTTTCAAGAAGGGCACGGGGAAGCTGCTCAGTTGTGGAGTTTTCCCACTTTCTTGTCTGTGCATTTGGCTGACTGCAAATAGCCAAGGGAAAAGTGGATTATTTTTTTTTCCCCATGCCTGAAAACACTTTTCTAGGAAAGAAGTTGATACTAAGCTTCATTTTTCACTTGGCTGTGGAGTCACTGATGCAGGAACCAGTTAAATCAGAAATTAGGAAAAAAAACCCCCATATATTTATACAGCAATCCTTTGAATTCTTTAAACTTCATCTCTGTGTAGAGGTCTTGCTTCAGTGCTCTGATTCTTTATTTCAGTTGTGCCAGTAGACTCAGTTCTTAAGATTTTCTTCAGTATCTTCACCAGCCGCGTTGCCACCAAAGCTGCATTCCCCATTCAAAGACCGAGATGTTGAGCGGAAGGTGGAAGGTACAATCCAAAGCTCACACCCAACTGAAACTTTTGAGAGGAACCAAATGCTACCCCAGATACAGCTCTGTTCCAGTTTGAAAGCAAAGTGTCCTTCCTTCAACTGCAGCTGATGATTAACTTTCACATTTTTAAAAGTTAAGCAGGCAGTAACACCAAAATACATCAGGACGGGGCAGTTAAACGCTGTGGGGGTGAAAAGGGGTAATTTCAATGGAAATTCGGAGTCTTGATGAATGCTCCTGTCAACTTGGTGTGGAAGGAAACACTTGGTGCAGGCGTCTGTTTTGTTTCCTGGTGGCTGGAAGCCTGACCTTGTCAAAGCCATTGGCAAAAGTCCCTCTGACTTCCCAAGGGCCCAGCTCCTTGTGTTTTCAGAGGAATCAGAGTAATTTGGTGACAACAAGTGAAGGGTGTGTGAGTGGAAATAAGGTATTTGTTCGGTTCTGACACCCGTGTTGCTGTGAGAACCAGAATGAGGAAGAAGCTCACACTTCCTGTTTAAAAAATAATAATAAACAAATAGAAAAATTTCCTTCTCCTTGGGTTATTCAGTTTGGTTTTTTTCTTGACTTGGGGTGTTTGTGGTGAAGATTGGGAAGTGACGAGAGCTGGTGGTTGACCCTGTGTTACTGACATGCTCGGGAATACCATTGCTGGTGGAGGAACTTGTATGAAGTAAAATGGTTGTGAATTTACACTGCTATCCTAGAAATTTAAGAACTTGTATGCTGTGAATTTACACTGCTATCCTAGAAATTTACTATAAATCTTAATAGAAATATGTGTGTCCATAGGAAGAATTGTATCAAGAATTAGAGATCTACACGTGCAGAGGAGAAGCTGAACTATATCCTGTGGCCTTTGCAGTCCGTCACCTGAACGTCCTCTCGTTATGTCTTGTGTTTTACTGCCCAAAAGTTGAAAAGCTGAAAGTCTTCTGTGTTGTAAAACCTGCACATTTGGCAGTTTAGTGCAGTGGAACTGGTTTAAAGATACCTTTTGTCAAGTCTTGGATGAGATATTCCGTGTGTATCCCCTGATTGTAACGCTGTTGCTGGGATCTGTGTTACAGGCAGCTGCCTGCTGAATGCAAATACGAAGGGAGAGCAAACAGTCATGAAGGACTGTTTCAGTTAGTTCCATAGCCTTTCTACACAAGGTGATTTGGTCTTGTGCTGTCTCTTCTCCTGAGCAACTGCGTTTTAATGTTTAATTTCTAACATTAAATATAATAGTTGGCTAAAAATACTTTTTAGCCAGCGCCAGCGTTGTAGTTAGCATGTAGCTAGTCTAGAAATAGCCATAACTTTTAAAAGAAATGAACAATATCAACAGTTCCGAGGAATATTTTTTTTCAAACTAACTTTTTTAGGGCTTTTTTTGTGTTTGTTTTTTTTTTTTAAAGGGGTTTTTTGTGGGTTTTTTTTTTATACCTATGATTCTGTTTTCTGCAACATTGATAAAATTTCCTCACTTAGTCAAGATACCAAGGGATAGAACCATTTATTTGCTATAAGGTTTGCACTATACCTATGATTCTTTTTTCTGCAACATTGATAAAATTTCCTCACTTAGTCAAGATACCAAGGGATAGAACCATTTATTTGCTATAAGGTTTGCACGGCTTTGGTCTTACAACACAAATTCAATGCAATATTGCCTGGAGTTTCCAAAAAGATCAAGGGTTGTTACTCCAGCCTCGGGCCAGATAAGTGGGATTTAGGCTGACAGACTGACTTCAGGCTTTAGTCTGTGACCCAAAATAACTAGAATCTGCATCTGGTACAGACAGAGACAGGAAAAAATTCTGTGGAGACTCATGGAAATTGTGAAGCAGGGATGAGCCTGACCTTGGTAGTTGTAATTCCAGTGAAGTTCTGGTGGGATGTGTCTTACCAACATGTGTGTGTGTGTTGGCAGCTCTACTAGAGATCATTTCATATCACAGAGACATGAAAAAAGTCATGTTTTAAACCAACCAGGGTGTTGCTGCGCTGTATTAATGCGGGCATTTCTGAAGGTGGAAAAAAAGAAAGTCCTTGTTTGGTAACAAGGACTGTTAATTTTATGTATTTTATTTAAATAATTCATAAGGACTTGAGTTTGCTAACTGTAGCACAGCTGGGCTCACACTTGACAAATCAGTTGGCCTTTTCATTTCCTTCTTTGCTGCTTAAACATTTAAATGTGCTTTCTCTCTCTCCCTGCAATGAAGTTTTTAGCCAGTGCCTGTTAAGCAGAGGCTGACAGGCCAGGAGAAGAGGACATTGCTTGGAAGGCACAGGGTTTGGGTTGAACAGTGAAAGTGTGGGGAATTGGTGAGGTTAAAATGTTGAAGCCATGAAGGTGACGTGCAGGAGAGTGGGAAGGATAAAGTTTAGGATGAAATCATGGCGTTGTGTTGGATGCACATACTCTTGATGAGTCTGTGTTCTTGCAGCAGATAAATACATGGGAACTGGTGAGGTTAAAATGTTGAAGCCATGAAGGTGACGTGCAGGAGAGTGGGAAGGATAAAGTTTAGGATGAAATCATGGCGTTGTGTTGGATGCACATACTCTTGATGAGTCTGTGTTCTTGCAGCAGATAAATACATTCCCAGTTTTGATAGCATATCCAAAGCTCTGTCTCCTTAATGTGGATTGAGACATTTCTGAGTTTATGCAAAATTGGCCTGTAGGGATGGAAAGTGGACTGAGACACCTCTTGTGGTTCCATGCTGCATGATTGTGTATGTGTGCTCTTAGGGCAAGTGTGTTTGTGAGTATTTGTCAGATTTTGACCTTTTTACATAAGATATGGTAGTTCTGGGTGTGAAAAACACCCCTAAAAATGCATTTGCATACCAAGCTCTTGAAAAATGAGTTCATATTGAGAAACACAACAGCTGAAACAGGATAAAGTTTCATTGAATTGAGATGAAATTGGATTACAAGTAAAACTGATTCAAAAGTTGATCCAAATGATTGGTGTTTAGAGGGAATTAGGTGCCTCCTTCATTCTGGAATCTTGTGTGATACCTGCTGGGTCTTTTTCCAGTGGTTTATGTATGCTAGGTTGTACTGGTGGGATGGGTGATACATGGTATGGAAATAACCTTGTAAGTGGCTTGGGACATAATTCATCAGAGGATTTGGTATTGATGGGTTAAACATAATTTTTTTTTTTTCTGGAATGGCAACAAATTAAAATGTGTTCTTTTTCTTTGCTTACAGTGGGGAAAATAGGTAAGAAGTTGGACAAAGGGTGTAGTTTCTGTGATGCTGTAAAGTAATTGCAGATCTTAAGCCATGTGTATTACTAACAATCTTAATAGTAAGAGTTATTGTAGGAAATTCAAAAGAGACATTATCATAGAATGCTATGGGGTTGGAAGGGACGTCTGGAGATCATCTAGTCCAACCCCCCCACCAGAGTGGGTCTACCTATAGCAGGTTGCACAGGAACTTGTCCTGGCAGGTTTTGAATGTCTCCAGAGAAGGAGACTCCACCACCTCTCTGGGCAGCCTGTTCCAGTGCTCTCCCACTCTCACAGGCAAGAAGTTCCTCCTCACATTTAGGTGGAACTTCTTATACAAGTTTGTGCCCATTTCTTCTTGTCCTGTCACTGGGCACCCCTGTTAAAAGACCAGCCCCATCCTCCTGGTACCCTTCTCTCAAGACTAAAAAGTCCCTCAGCCTCTCCTTGTAGGAGAGATGTTCCAGGCCCTTAATCATCTCTGTGGCCCTTTGCTGTACCCTTTCCAGCAGTTCCCTGTCCTTCTTGAACTTGGGGGCCCAGAACTGGACACAGTGCTCTAGATGAGGTCTCACCAGGGCAGAGCAGAGGGACAGGATGACCTCCCTCCACCTGCTGGTCACACTCATCTTGATGCCCCCCAGGATGCCATTGGCCTTCTTGGCTACAAGGGCACATTGCTGGCTCATGGTCATCCTGTTGTCCACAAGAACTCCCAGGTCTTTCTCCTCAGAGCTGCTCTCCAGCAGGTCAGCCCCCAACCTGTCCTGGTGGAGGGGGTTATTTCTTCCCAGGAGCAGCACCCTACACTTTCCCTCGTTGAATTTCATTATGTTTCTCTCTGCCCAACTCTCCAGCCTGTCCAGGTCTCGCTGGATGGTGGCACAGCCTTCTGGGGTGTCAGCCACCCCTCCCAGTTTTGTGTTTTTGAGAAACCCAATTTAAGGGAATGTTATTGGAAGTACTGTGTCTTTGGAGAGGGTAAACATCAGTATACGGAGTTTTATTCCATCTTTTCCTGTATATTTTTCTTTAAGTTGATGAAGACCTTTGGAAACCAACGACAAACACATAATTCTTGTTTTCTGGGGTGGGGTTTAGGTGTCTTAAATAGGTGGAGACTGTCTGACTTCTTCCCCTCGTGGATGATCTTGCCAGCGAATCGACTCAGCCATGTCATACGGTGCGGGTTTTGGGGATCCTAATCAACTGGCCCAACGTATAACTTCCAACATCCAGAAGATCACACAATGCTGTAAGTTGCATTTATGCATGTTTTATATAAAACTTTAATTATGTAGTGCCCCGCATTCGAGGTTAATTTCTCAGACTTTGACTTCACCTGCTGGTTTGAGAGGCTCGTGGCACCCCACGCAGCAGATGCAGTCCTTTGTGTGTGTGGTTATTTATCCTGGTTATTTATCCTGCTCTGTATTCATCAAAAGAATAAATAATTAGTAAGATGGCTGCTGGTATTAAGCTGGTTTTGTCCTGGCCAGTTATGTGGCACCTTAAGAGGGTGGTTTGAGATGTTTGCTGAGCAAGCATTGCATCAAATATTTGCTGGAGCTTGAATTGTTTAGCAGGGACAGAAGCTGTGGCTTTGCAACTTGTCCTTGGAAGTACATATTAGATATGTAAAGAAGATTGTGCAACTTCTAGTATATCTGTGCTTAGATTCATGCCACCTAAATTTTTAGCCACCTAATTAGGGTGTTCAAGTTAGAGGTGGGTTAGGCTGCTGGGGTTTTCAGTCTTTTCCACTTTCCTTCCATTTTCCATTATGTTTTTAATATATGAGTGTGTGTATATAAAGCAAATGCAACTCCATCTCGGAAATTATGCAAAGTACATTGTTTGTCAGAAGGGAGCTGGCCACGAACAGCATGTGGCGAGGTTTTTGGCATGAATGTTCTTCATTTTGTGCAGGATGTACTGTGTATGCAGAAATGGGTATTATTAAAACTTCACATGAATTCTAATCATTTAAGTATTTCGGTTTTAATAAAAACTTGGGTCTTGGTTTTGCAAGACGAGTTTTAGGAGTTGATATTTGTAGCACAGATTAAAGGGCTTTTGAATTATTTTTTTCAGCTACATTTTGTATTTTCTTCCAGAAAAAATGTCTTTAAATCTCAACAGACAGGAAGAAAAATTTAAAGTTTGCTTTACTGGAAAGTTTCTGTACATCAGGGTTGTTTTTCCTCAACCTAAAATTAACAAGCTGGCTTTGTAAAAGCCCTTATGCTTTATTTCCTAAGATCTGCTCAGGGAATTCACTCAGTCTCATGAGCTTCTAACCTGGTCTTCCAAAGCCACCTGCCAACCTGTGCCAGACACCGAGCCTCCACAATGTAAAAAACAATTCTTGGTTGTTAGATGAGAACATAAGGTGGAGTCAGTGGTTGAAACTGGAGCATTGTGAAGGCGATCACTGAGCGTAATTAACCGTCTTGTGCTGGAGTGGTCTTGTCCTGCCTCTTCCAGCTCCTCTCTTGCTTCTGCTGTGTCTCCTCTCTCCTCATGATGAGGTGTACTAAGAGCAAGCTGCCCAGGCTTAGGTAGAAGATGATGTGCCACAAGGTTTACTTTCAAATTTACTTTTCAAATTTACTTTTTCAAATTTAGATGTCAAAAGTCTGAGCAATAGACGGGTGCTTCTGCCGTTCAAAGACCCAGATCCATCTCTCTCTTACCTCTACTGCTTCCTGGCTTCAGAAATGAGCTTTGCCTTCAAAAGCTCCAGCCAAGCACTTTTATAGGACTGGAAGGTACACAGCTGGATTCCATCCCTCCCTCTTCTGTAGATTGGACTGAGCTGTAACCACTCACTTACTCCTGTGGTCCATTCTCCTCTGGTAGGTTTGATGAGCAGCTGGATCTTAGAATCATAGAACGGTTCAGGTTGGAAGGGACCTTAAAGACCACCCAGTTCCAACCCCAAGTAACACCTCCCACCAGCCCAGGTTGCTCCAAGCCCCATCCAGCCTGGCCTTGAACCCCTCCAGGGATGGGGCAGCCACAGCTTCTCTGGGCAACCTGGGCCAGTGTCTCACCACCCTCACAGCAAAGAATTTCTTCCTGAGATCTCATCTAAATCTCCCTTCTTTCGGTTTAAAACCATTGCCCCTCATCCTATGGCTCCATTCCCTGATCAAGAGTCCTTTCCCATCACTCCTGTAACCCCCTTCAGATACTGGAAGGGACTCTAAGGTTGAGTTGTTTCCCATCGCTCCTGTAGCTCCCATCAGATACTGGAAAGGGCTATAAGGTCTCCTAAGACTCCTCCAGGCTGAACAACCCCAGCACTCTCAGCCTGTCCTCACAGCAGACGTGCTCCAGCCCTCTGATCATTTTCGTGGGCTCCTCTCGACCCATTCCAACAGGTCCATGTCCTTCCTTTGTTGAGGACTCCAAAGCTGGATGCAGTACTCCAGGTGGGGTCTCATTCCTCTTATGACCATGCTGAGCAGGTTTTCTGCACCGGGCACTGTAAGGACATTCATACACTTCTCTGGCTGTTTATTCCTGTGTATAGGACATGTCCAGCTTTCTGTTGGAAGCTGTTGGCCATGCTGAGCAGGTTTTCTGCACCGTGCGCTGTAAGGACATACATACACTTCTCTGGCTGTTTTATTCCTGTGTGTAGGACATGTCCAGCTTTCTGTTGGAAGCTGCAGGAGCTTCCAGGTCAAACGAGAAGAAACCTGCAAGCTTGGGGACCTATATGGCTAGTCAGCTGCTGAGCAGGTATCTCTTAGACTGCTATTTATGATCTTGGTGAGGACAGGAGGGGGAGAGAAACAGGAATCTTGACCCTTGCTCCGTGGTTTTCCTTCGAAGCAGTTGATTTACCACTGTCCAGAAACGTTCAGCATTTGTGAGATGCAGCAGCACATTAGAAATCTTTTTGGTTAACCTGAAGCTGTGTCAATATTCTGTTTTTCAGAGTGAGATTAATAGAGAAAGAGAGTTTTGTTTCAGATTTCAACCCCTCAACACTAATTCACTAATTCAAACTCTGAATGCTGCTACGGAGATGTAGAGGAGATACAGGTTGGTTGAAGGGAAGGTGGCCCTTCCAGCTAAAAGCTGGCCCTTTAACTTGGGGGAGAAATAGAGAAGAACTTCCTGAATTAGACAACCCTGTGCTGCTGAGTTTTCGTAATACAGCAGAGTTTTATAGGAAGTAGCACTGGTGAGGACAACAATCCTTGCTCTAACATTTCTTCAAGGTTGAATGATTACATGCACCCCTCCTCCACGTAATAAATTTGACCTGGTTCTTAATCAACAGTTTTTAATATGCCATACATGTTAAAGATAAAATACATATATTAAATACCTCACATTTCATAATGCATCCACGTGACGCTGCTGTTTTATTAAGACTGATGAGCCCCACCTCCCTTCTTTCCTAATTGAAGTACCCCACTGTTACTGATTGACAAGTAAAGCTCATTTCTGTGCTGGTTTAGCACACACCAATAATTAAATCAGTGGCAAGACTGTATTCTTTTTGGTTTGGGTTTTTCTTTGATAATGGAGAGGCCCTATGTTTGTATTAGTGAACAGCTGGGTTAGTTTAGCAACCTTTTAACTTTAAAGAACAGATATTTATTGATCTGCTGATCCAATCATGCAGTTGATTGTTGTGTTGAAGATGTGTTAAGAGGAGTAAATTGCTCCTGAACTTCCATTTACTGTAGTAAATGCTGTCTGTAGTGGGCTGTTTGAGTTTCTTTGGAGGAGTGGGTCATTTTTAGGACCTTGTAGCTGTAACTGAGCTAGCTAATGGGAAGCAGCAGACACTGCTGTCTGCACTCTGAGCTCTCTTGGAATACTTAAGGCAGGAGGACACATACATGTGTCTGGGATCCCAAATTCCAGAGCCTTCTGTGAAAAGAAGGTTCTTTCAGCTGTTCTTTAAAAAAAGGATCCGTGCTCTGTTTTGCATTTCTGCAGAAATAAGCGATTATAACATGACTTGATAACATCTAGGGAATGGAGTCCACTTTCCTCAGCTTGAAACTCATGTTTTATCAATGACATCTCCGAGCTGAGATTTAGAGAGTTTGTCTGTGTAGTTTTTCTGTGCCTTTAGGTAAAACTGTTTCCCCGAGCAGCTGGAATTGCAAAATTTGCGGCTTTTCTTGCCGTCTGATGTAGAGCATTGTGAGTTTAACCTCGGTGAGGGCAGGAAGGTGAGGTCCTGCTGGTTTGGGTTTGGGTCTGGGTTAACAGCAGTGAGAAGCAGATTACAAACAGCTAAGGGAAGTTCAGATTTAAATAATGCAACAGAAGACGTGTATAATGAGCTTTGGCACCTCTTAGAATTAGGCAGCCGCTAAATTTCTGTGTTACTAGAAGGCAATTTAAGATTAAGGTTTGAAAATCCACCTGGAATCTCATCCAAAGTAACCATATTTGTCATTCCGGGCCTATCTCATATCTGATAATCTATATAACACACATTGCTTTGGATTTTTGAAATATGAATGTAAAGATGGTTGATGTTTGTCCCTAACCTTCTGGATGTAAAGAACAGGACTATGGAGAGCTAATATAAGAACATACAAATATAAGAACTATGGAGAACAGAATAGGAGAAGTGATGCAGGGTGTAGAGCTTCAGCCTGAGCTTTGCAGATGGAGAGCCTGTTGTTATCAAGGGCTTTTAATCAGTGTTTACTGAAGGAGCAGCGGTTCCAGAGCTGGGTTTCACAGGTTGCACTTTCACTTCTGTGCCAGTTTCATGGCATCTGCTCTTAACTTGAGAGAAATCTCAAGTATTTCCTGTTGGTTTACAGCAACTGGACAGACAAGGAGTGAGCGTGATACACAGAAACAAGATGAGCCAGCAAAAAATACTTTTCTCACAAACCTGCTTACAAATCTGTATTTCTACCAGGCACGTTCATTTCCCCCACTAGGGATATGCCCAGTAGGATGAGAGCACCGAGTCCATCTTGTCATTTATTTTCTTTTTCCTTTATTTTTTTTATCCTTCTCCTCTTCCTGAAGAGCATGTAGCAAATTTTACAAGAGGAAATCTGATCTTTCACCAAATGGAAAGACGAAAGTAGAATGAAACAAACAAAAAGTCTAATTTAAAAGCTTTGAAATGTGTTGTTTTCAGGCTTCTTCCAAATGTGAAGATAAGAGAAAGCAGTTCTTTGAAATCTGACAGTTTTCTGCATTTTAAAGAGTTGATTCTCCGTGTGTAGCAAAAAAGAGGGAAAGCATTTGGGTTAA